ATAGATACCAGATTTTTTTTTCTACTTTTTATTTGGGGAGAGACGGATTGCATGTTCTACCTTTGGGGAAAGTAACTATTTTTTTGTGTGTTTTTCGTTAGACAGTTAAATAGTATTCCAAGTATTTCTTTGCCGCTTTTTAAAAACCAGATGGACAATGGAATGGTGAATGTGGAATGGGTGTTTCTAGCTGATTCACTGTTCAAATGAATATAAAAGCCTACATGAAACCACGGCATAACATTGAGCAAGCTTCGTGCAGGCTCTGGAAAACACAAAGACCTCCTCGAAAACACTGACAGTAAAAAAAAAAAAAGAAGAAAAACGGACTTGCACTGAAACTGTTTAGCTATTATTTTGTTATTGAAATAGAATACAGGTTATCCAAGACATGCATAAGGACATAGCCCAGCCACTAACAGACTCAATATTATATGAAACTGAATATACGTGTGTGTGTCTCTATATCTATTTATTTATATCCATATCTGTGTATGTCTATATCTCCATCTATATATCTATATCTTTTTATCACTTTAAATATTATTACCCATATTTGAGAAGACATTCAGTTTATTTTCTTATAAAAAAGTGAGCTCTCTGGCAAGATTCAAACCTGTGTCCCCCTTTGCAGGAGAAACCAACATTAGATCCAACATACTTTAGACCAACTCAGCTACAAAGGACATAGCCAATCAAGCAAAGCCAAATAGTGCCTTGTAAGTGTCTTATTCTTGAAAGTTCATATCTGCTCAGTTTCATATCTGAATGTAAACAAAGTAATTTCTAAAGAAGTAATGGATTTTTTATTTATTAATCCAACAGATTTTATCAGTTTAAATGTTATTTTTAGGGGATACCTGTGTTTGTGTTGATGCACAGATGTGCCCTCCGGCAGGATTCCTTTGCAGGTGAAGCCATCATGAGAACCAAAGTGCTTTCAACCAATATATATACATATCTATATCTGGAGGCACCATGGAGTAATGGAAAACAGAGTTCAAATTCCAGTTGAGTTCATTACGTTTACTTATGTGCAAATACTCTTGAAAAAGGTCTGAATCCATCTCTTCCCTCCCTAGCTATGGGTAAATAGCAGGATTGACAGTGTTTTATAGCTTTGGGTGGTAATCTGTCAAGGAGAAAGACAACTCTGAATTGAAAACTTGTGGACCTCGTGGCATGCTGTGAATCAGCTCTCTGTATTTGGGTCTTCCAAAAGGTGTGGTTGGTTATGGACAAGCCTTTACCACTATAATCAGATTATATGTGTTGGTAGTCTGGCTGTTCAGGTCTAAGAACTATTGGATACTCATGTGTCGAACAATGATGGCAAAGTCCTCCATATCTTTCTCTCTCTCTCTCTCTCTCTATATATATATATATATATGCATCCACTTGTACATGCTCTATATGTACATACATACAAAAATTCTTATAATTCATCTATAGTATGAAATGTATATGTTCAGTACACATATATAAACACAATACCAAGCTACAATATGTGTATATATATATATATATATATATATATATATATATCAGCTACAACTGAGTAGTGAGTTTGATATAGTAGGCACAGTAGAGCAATGGATTGCTGCTTGGATTGATGAATTGGAGAGAACAAAGTTCAAAATCCAGCCAAATTCATTACATTCACTTACATGCTAATACTTCTGGGCAAGGTATGAATCCAACTCTTTTCCCTTCAGCTATGAGTAAATAGTAGGACAGACTGGGTTCTATAGCCTTGGGTGGCAACTGGCCTAAGAGAAAGAAAACTCTGAATTCAAAACTATGTAGCCTTGGTAAAGCACATACTATGCAGCTCAAGAAAGGATCATTCACATTGACTCAATGATCCTGACTGCAGTCTAGCTATACCTAATAAATCTTTCTCTTTCTCTCTCTCTCTCTCTCTCTATATATATATATATACATACATACATACATACATACATACACACACACACACACACACACACACACACACAGTGTGTGATGGTTAAATTGTCACCATTTTATATTTTTTCTTTTACACATGCACATTGCGTGTTTTTGATTTTGTCAACTGCACTGTATACTAGGGTCAGTTGGGCACCAGTCTGACCCTAAAAAAACAACACCATTACCCAATTTACACTACCAGAAATGGCATGCTGTACTGCTTGGTATTCACACCAGAAGTTCTAATATGAACATTTCAGAATGTTTGTGTGTTAATCTGAGGACAGTGCAGAGTATTCAGAAAGAGTTCGATGAGTCTAATGGTGATTATAAAGGTGTTTGAAGTGATCATTAGTGATGGTGACATTATGCCTCCATTCATCTTCCCAAAGGGCCTCAGACTCAACATGGAAGGCCAACATCAAGTACCTTGAAGAGGTAGTGCTACCCTGGGTTAAGAGGGTGGCTGCTGGAAGACTCTATGTCTGGCAACAGGACTCTACACCATGCCACCTAACTCCCCAGACTGCAACAGTATAAAAATGGCCTGAACAATGCATTCAAGCATGAAACTGGGTATTAACCACATTTAAACACACACACACGTACAATAAAAGAAGAAAAAAATCCACTTTGCATCAATGAAACATGTATAAATTATTTTTCAATGCAATATAAAAGAAAAAGGAGAAAAATTCAATTGCTGATATCTACTGACAAATGGACGAAGCAATTGCTGGAGGCTCTGTCTACGAAACTCTAGAGTAGGATACTGAAGGTAACATCAATCAGTGACAAATTTTATATTTAATCCTATATTAATCATTTTAAATATATATATATATATATATATATATATATATATATATATAATTATTTATTACAAATTAATTATTTACCAAAAACCACTTTATGAGTCCATAAAGTTGAAACCCAGGTCATGTTAACGGTGAATTTTTCAATTTTTTATATTACTATATATATATATATATATATATGATAGCAGTTTCTTTAAGGTAGTGTAGAATATCAACATCTTGATTATATTTTTATTTCTGTTAATGTCACATCTATATTAGTTGCTGCTGTTGGAAGCTCATCAAGTGATGTGGTTGCTGTTATTTGGTACAGTTCTCTGTTTGTGATTCTTTTGCACTAGTCTATAAGATGCAACAATAGACAATCCTCTTCAAGACCTACAGCCTGATTCATAGTGTTCATATGAAATATATGCTTATAAATATGTTTTCTTTTTCAAGCATTTTCAAGAACTTATCATTAAATACATTCACTAATGTAAGCTATTTTCCTTTGTTGCAAGACAAAAACAATAATTTATAATGAACATACTTGTTTGTGTACCTGTGCTTAGAACATATGACTTAGTCTTGATTGAATATAAATTCTGTTCATATTGCGAAAACATTAGAGAACATCAAAAGTATGTTTAGGATTGTCTATTTTTAACTAACTTCATTGAAAAAGATTCCTTTTGATTGTATTATGACAGCTGTCATATCTGCATGCATTTTTTTTTAAATTGTCAAAACTTAGTGTTTTTGTATTTATTGATTCTAACCATTAAAATGGAATAAAGTAAGCAATATTTTTGGCACACTATGCTTTTCATTCTAAGCAAGTTAAAAATGAAGTGGCTTGTAAAAGTAGCTTGCTGAAGATTTCTCACAGAATAATGCTCCATGGCTAGGGGAACTAGTTAGAAATTATATTATTTGAAAATAACTAATATTATACAGTATAAGATATAGTCCACACACTCAAAATCATTTGAACAAGTTTTGTTATGTTTGTCACTTTGATGTGTGGCTTCCATATCAGTTACAAAAATCATTTGAACAAATTTGGTTATGTTAGACACTTTTATAGTGTAATTTCCATATAAGTTAAACAAAAAAATGCACTGACTTCTATTTATGTGTGCAACTCAGTACTTAAATGTAAGAAAACGTTTTGTGTTTAATTGTTGACTGGCTTTTCTTTCAACATAAATAAGATAGCAAATATAGAAAAATGTGCCCATAATAAGACATTAAAAGGACATTTTCTCCCAAGACACCACTTTTTAAATAACTTCACTCCTTAATAAGGTATATTGTTTTAAAAAGTGATGATTAGAATTGTAATAAAACCTAAACATATGATGAAAGTGGATTTATACATTTTTTTTGTTACTGAGAATTTACAACAAAAATATAAAAAGCACTATTTATTAGATTGTTTATTTACAAGAATAATTTTATATTTGCAACATTCTTGAAACTAATACAATTAGAAGTAATGCAATGGAATAGTTATCATTTACCAATTTATAAAGAAATAAATATGAAACAATTTTTATTCATAAACATTGACTAAATTATTAAAATATGTAAACTAACTATAAAGAAATCCTTATTATTTGACATTTTAGAAAGTTTGAATCAATTGGCAATTAGTCATCGTTTTGTCAACCATTCCAATAAATAATATAATAAACAATCTAATAAATAGTGTTCATTATTTTTCTTGTAAATTCTCAAGAACAAAGAAAATGTATAGATTCACTTTCATATGCTTAGGTTTTATTACAATTTTAAACTTTGTTTTTTAAAAAAATAAGCACAGATAAAGAGTGAAGGTAGGTAAAAAAAAGTGTTGTCATTGGATTAACCTCCTTTTGACAATGTGCCCTATTGTGGGCACCTTTCTCCATGTTTACCAATAAGTTTATAGAAAACTAATGAAAGATCTGTCTTATAAAAGAGTGGAGGCTCTGTCTATCACACACTATCTTTGGGTGATTTTTCATATTGTGCATATAATGTATATTTTTTTGTCTGCATTGTAAGTGATAGATTTACATGTACTTGTATAAATTAACACAAATACACACAGTTTAATTGAGTTTGAAGTAAAACATTGGAATAATACATTACCATACTTATCAGTTTTGACAACACCTATCCTGGACTGAACATAAGATCTAATTTCTCTGTCTGGCAACAAACTTTGGATAACAGGAAAAGAGTATAAGCCAGATCTTTGAAGACAGAAAGAAATGAAAGAAAAGAATGAATGAAGAACAAACAATGGGGAAAAGAAAAGAATGAAGAGAAGACAAAGTAATGAAAGAAAAGAATGAGTATAAATTAAACAGTGGGACAAAGAAAAGAAAGAAGAAGAGAAAAAGAAATAAAAGAGAAGAATGAATAGAAATCGAACAATGGGACAAAGAAAAGAAAGAAGAAGAGAAGAGAGAAAGAAAAGAATGAATAGAGATTGAACAATGGAATGAAGGAAAGATAGAAACCTGTGAAGAAATCATTTAAACTTTATAAGGAAAGGAAAAAAAAAAGAAAATAGGAAAAAAGAGAATTTGTTCCTTAGGCTAGTAACAGATAAAGAAAACATTTCTTGAAACCAAACAAATCTACTGATTCCAACTATATTCAGCTATACATCATAATAAACAGCAGAGCAACAAGCCAGACAATTAGTCACAAATTGCTTCTTTTAAGCAGTGCCAAGCCAATGGCTGCCAACAGTGCATTAAGAACACAGCCAAGTCTCTTTAAGCAATGAAACTCTGATATGACAACGCAGACCTTCAGTCCAGAATCCACCAAGGAAAACTAAGATTGACTCCGAGACTACCTGATTATTTACTCCTACAAGCATTCTTCATTCTACTAAACAATCACTGGACTCCATTTTGCATTCAGTTTGTTCTAGAAATACTAATATCAACACCAGCTTTCCAAAATCTACTTTATATATATATCCTTTTTTTTCCTTTTTTTTTTTGTGAAACATTTGAGCAAACCCACAACTATCACTTCACTCCTTTTACTGATAAATCAAGTTATAACAGCCTGATCCCCTCACAGGCATAACTAACTACTTCTTCACTATCTGGGGTTTTCTTTCTGCCTCTTTCTCTCTTGTGCATCATGGGTATGACGATAAACTTCATCCAGCAGCATCAAGAATTTTAAGGAGCGTAGGACCACATTCAACATTCATTCTTTCACTATTTCAAGTATTGCACAAATTACAGTTTTGTTTAATAGTTAATTGAGATGAGGTATTGTAACTATTTACACTGTTTAGACTATTGTCCTTATCTGTATTGTTATGTTCACAATGCTCTTCAGGTGACATACATTGGAATTTTGAACTGAACCCTTTATTTCATACACCAGGGTAGTGTTCTATTTCCAGTTATCTCCCTTTAGTAACCTTTTGTTCACTTGTAGTTGGGTATTGAACTCCATGGATTACTTCAACCAACACTTTTATCTGTTGGGCCATATGTCTTTGGGGACATCAATGTATGAATTTTTAGGACTTATAAAGTTAATGTTTGAGTAATCATTTTTTACCAGACAATTTGCTGTTTTTGTTTTTATCTGGCACTCTGTATTACTGGTTCCCACATTGTATTGATGTTTATGCTTGGTTGGCTTAGGAGATTTTTATGGCATAGAATATGCACTGATTCCTTAAGTTTTCATATCATTGTCAATGGAAAGACAATCCACTCACTTTCCCAAGAACAATTATGACAGTGTCCATTTAACAGATATTAAAGAAAAGGAAGCCATGATTGTCCTGCAGTTAGATGCCACTTATGAAAGAGAATAATATTAGTAAGAATGAAATGAAACTATTTACACTATTTACATTGTTCAGACTATTGTCCTCATCTTTACTGTCATCTTCACATTTCTCCATAGTTTTTGAATTAAGAGTTATCTTTCTAGATTGTCTACTAAGACCAAGAATACTGCTGTTTAAACCAAAACTGAGAGCAAAGAGAGATGGATTCATGCCTTTCCCAAGGGCATTAGTGGAAAGGGAATGAAAGTGACTAAGTTGGAATTTGAATTGTTATTTTGTCGAAATGTTTCAATATACTCTTTCTACTTCATGTCAGCTGAAATGTCAGTCCAAGAGGACTCTCTCCTGAAGGTTAGCATCAGCAATGCTGATAGATGGTAAAAAGGGTTCTCTCAGATGATTAAAACCTTCTCCATGGTTCTTGAATTCAGAGTTGTCTTTCTAGATTATCTTCCAACAAAGGCTCAAGAACCCTGCTATTTAAACTATAACTGAGAGGAAAAGAGATGGATTCACATCTTCTCAAAGGGCATTAGTAAAAATGAATTCAAACAGATTCTGGTAGAATTTGAACTTGTCTTGCTGATTCCATTTTCTTTACTGATAACCATTACATTAAGCATGTTATAAAAGAATAAAGTGCTGTTGCCAACACTTGAATTTGAACATTACCAGTGAGCAAACACAGGCGGTCTCATTATTGAATTAAGTAGATCATGTGACCATAGAGGAAACACATAGATAGAAAGTAGTATGCCATCTAATTGATCATCATTTCTAGTCTATCTTCTATTTCTGTATGGATTACTATTCTCTATATTGATTACTATTTGGTGATTACTATTCAAGCAAGTATTATTGAGCAAGTACTATTAGTTTGAGTGTTATTCAAAGGTGTCTGACACCAGTATTGTTCAATGGCATTACTATAGTTGTATCTGTAATTACAAAATCTCTACTACAACGAGCATTATGAAAGTGACAACGGGTATTCAGTGACATTACAAAAGCTGGCAACAAGTGTTCATTGAGTCACAAAAAATTATATATCTAGCAAAAACAAGACAGCTAAATGCATTTGAATTTTTTATTTATTTACTCATGTATCATGCAGCTTTTGAAGAACTAATTTTGAAGTTAATTTTAAGAGGGTCACATCATACATGAGATAGGACATTAACATATGTACTGATGGCCCTGGTTACACAATTGACCAAACTATATATCCATTTAATTTAGTCAAAAAGTACAACTATATTTAAAATAAACATGATTTTGATAAAACTGATCTAACCAATAATAATGCATGTACTATTCACATATTAGTATCACATTATAAAATACAAACATAGCGAATATGCATCAGGATTCATTACTGGTGGCCAGAATCTTAAGAAGATAGACAGATCATACAGTATTGAATAACAGATGCAGAAAGCAACAACAGGAACTCCTACAGAAGTAAGTGAAGGAAAAGCTAAGCAAAGTATTAGGAAACAGGAAACTTTATTTGGAAACAAAGAGATTACTGAACTATTATGTAATATCAGACCCCTTTTATGGTAGTGAATGCTGGGTAATCACCTCCAATATGAAAAAGACACTTGAAGCAACAGAAATGATGTTCTAAAGAAAGATGCTGCAGATACCATGAACTGAACATGTGCATGATGACAAAATTTTAGAGAAACTGGCAACAAAAAGGACACTTATAGAGAGTTGAAATTTCTAGGGCACATAATGAGGAAGGAGTGCTTGGAAAATTTGATACACACAATACAGATTGATGACTAAAGGAACAGAGGAAAACTGCACACAACCTACCTAGTAAGCTTGAATAAACGGATGGTAGAACAGGGTTTAGGAGAGATAACAAAAAGATGAAATTCATTAAATACAAAGGACAGCAAATTGTAGAGACCCATGATTGTCAATATCCTGAAAGACACAGCACATAGAAGATTATATATATATATATATATATATATATATATATATATATATATATGAGAGAGAGAACTAGATTAACTCTTTAATAATCTACAAGTAAATCAGTTGTACAGAAAGAAAACCCATGTATTATGCTGCCATTTTCATCATTCACAATAGTTTCTTCTCCTATCCCTTTGCAGGATAAATAAGAACAAAACCTGGAGCAATGGTGAGATAAAAGAAGCAAGACGAGAAAATAAAAATGAAACTGAGGCTTCAGTTTCAGCTTCTCATCTAATTGATTAAATCACCATTTATATGGCTGTGGTTATCTATTCACTACCCATTTGAACATACTGTACCCAGTGACAGCCCTAGGGTTGCTAACACCCCAGGCAAGCTGAACTTTGGCACCCTTATAAGTATAATTTCTTTTACATTTTCACAAGGAAAAAAACTGAAAAATGTACAATAATAAGTTTATGACAATATACAACTTAATACAAACTAAAGAAAACATTCATTATCCTACCTAAAACATTTTTACTAGCCTTTAGATCTGCAAATCTTTTTGTGGCACTTTTTACTCCTAACTTCTTTAGAAGATCATTTTCCTTTGACAAAGAATTTAATCTGTCTTGCATCATGAACAACCACATGTTTTTATAAGTTTTAGTTTTGGAAGATCCCAAACCCATGACATGGTGGCATGATGGCACCCTCAGCCTTGATGGTACCCCAGGCTACTGCCCAAGTTGACAGTACCTTGTGCTGGACCTGACTGTATCACATTAGTATTTACTAACAGAAAACAGCATTCATTTTTTCCATTTAGATGTCAGTGTACCAATGATGTGATATGTGTTCACAGTTGGAATCAGAATGATCTTGAAGAAAAGCAATTCAACATATGTTTCAAGAATTAGAACTTGAAATAAATCTTTCCAAAACAGAAACACTATAATCTGGATTTTAAATGAGTGGGGATGAGACTTACCCTGAACCCATCATAAGTTTCACAGTATAGAGTTGATAAATTCAAAATACTTCAGATAGCATGTTGTATAGATCATTTGCAACACATTTAGAAACAGAGATAAAGAAAGATAGGTTACACCAAGAGTACTTTTGTCCATCACTACTAGTTGCTACAAAACCAAAATATTAACCTTCAAAATAGAGTTATGTTCTTAAACTTCTCTAACATAGGCATCTCCATTGAATTTTCGATACCTAAGATTCAAAATGAATTTTTAAAAGTGAAAAAGCATTTTTGAAGCTTTCATTTTAGCTTTAATTGAAAGCTAAATGATTAAATTTATTATCTCCAGTAAGCAAAATACTCTGGTGTATTTCAGACAGAAATTATACTGATTGGAATCTTAGCTTTTTGGTCACTTTCACAAAATCAGCCATTTATGATACATTTGTAAACAAAAGTTAATTCTTTGTTTTAAAATTCTTCCAAAAATAAAATATACTGTTTTGAAAATTCATTTGAAGAATATTAGTTGATTTGAAATTTAATTAATCCAATTTGAAAAAAAATATTATTTCCTTTAAGTTTAAAATAACAGAGAAATGATTTTTAAACAATGGTTGCAGTGATTTCACACTTATCACCATGGCTCATCACTTGTAGATCACTTGACAAGCAATGATAAAATCTGTCAACAACTTTACTGTTGTTCTATGGAGATGTAAAAACATAATTTAAGAAAATGATGGATGGGCACCTTTTTTATATAATTTTTAAGCTCACAGTAATCTTAAAAATGTTGGAAAATATTCTCCAAAATCTAATTTTAGAAATGTTGAATTTAAATTTACTTTAGTCATCACTCTTATTTTCTAATTATGTCATGTATGGTCGACCATACTTTCAAACAGGTGCAAGTAATATTTTATATACATAAAAAAAATTGAAATCTTTGGAAAAAAATATTGGGTGTAAAAATTTTTGTAATCTAACATACCTTCTCTGTGCCTTTTCTAAAATTATTTTAATGATAATTGTTTGGATAAGCTATCCTACTTGGTACCTAGACTTTATGAATTTAAGTATAGTTCTAGATTGTTAGCACACTGCTAGTGGAGTGGCCATGTTTACCCTGTAACAGCAGTAAGAAAACTGACATGATCAAGTTCAAAATTCAATCACATGACCACAATAGTACCAACTATAAGCTCACATGAGCAGAAGGCACTGTGACAAACCTAAAGATATATGATGGCAAAAGTAGAAAATTTTTGACTTAGTGAATAGTGAAGGTAGTTAAAAAAGCAGTGTCATGAGAAAAACTGTCCTTCTGACACTCTCTTATTGCAGGCACAAAGGTTCATGTTTGTCAAAAAGAGATAGAGAAATGAAAACAATTGGAAGTATTGAAGGAGAAAAAATGAAAAAAAAAAAAAAGAGAAAGAAAATAATTATTAGATGGAAAAATAATCAATTGCTGTCACATCAGGGCTGCCCAATCCTCACTTCCCAGCCTTGATTGAGTTCAAAACTATTTTCACAGCCTTGTGGGTGATGAATTGTTTTCTACCTTCAAGCCATTTCCCATAGATGGAATACTGCTAATCTCTCATTGCTCTACCAATATTTTCATGGCAGATGTTCAGGTAAATTAAATTCTTTGGTTCAACCAGTTCAGACCTTCACAGCTAGGACCTGCGATGCAACATACACTGAGCTGACATTCCCTACATATTCCATTAGTAAGGAGTAAGTTTCACTCAGACAGCTTCTTCCCCAGAACTGTTGTAATGTAGAATAGGCTCCTGAGGGGATGTTTCCTTGATTATTACAATCTTAACCTCTTCAAGTCAAGGATCAATCATTATCTATCCTACATATTCTCAAAATATGTAACCCTGGCTCCCTCCCTATATGCCCTTACAAAATTTTCACTTAGCAACCCTCTACCTTGAGTGGCACTTAGGCCTTGTATTTGGTGAACAATAAAAAAAAAAAAAAAAAAAAGCAATTGGCTGAATGAAACTCTTCAACTCTCCTCTAATAGTTTTCTTATGCTAAAAATTGTTTTGGTACATTTTCATATCTCTATCTTTTAAGTAACTTTTCTTAAATATTGTTAAAATTCTTCTGATATGGTAAACAGAAGCAAACATTAATACAACAACAATTTGAAAAGTATAAAGGAAGAAGAAAAAAGACTACATAGAGAGAAAGGGAGGGTGAAAGAATAATGAAAAAAGGAAAAAAAGGAAAGTATACTGATGGTTAGTTTGAGAGAGATGATGGAGATGAAGAAGGAGAAGACAGAATAGGAGAAGGTGGAATGGTTAAATAACTGGGGTTTTAAATTGAAATGGCCAGGAAGGAAAAAGTGGAAGAGAAAAATAATGAAAGAACAGAAAAAAAAAAGAAGTGAAAAGAAAAGGAACAGAAAAAAAAGAAGTGAAAAGAAAAATAGAAAAGAAAAATAGAAGTAAAAGGAAAAAGGTGAAAGTCATAAAAAACAAGAAAAAGACAAATAGTGATTGTAATAAAAATAGAAGACAGAAAAAACAAAGAAAAGAAAGAGGAAAGGAAAAGTAGAAGAAAAAACAGAAAAGAAAGAGATAAGAAGAAAGAAAAAAAGAAAAACAAAATAAAAGAAAAGCAGAGAAAAAAGAAAGAAAAGAAATGAAAAAGGTGAAAAGTCATAAAATCTAGAAAAAGACAAATACTTATTGTTATAGAAAAAGGAAGAGAGAAGACAAAAGAAATGTAAAAATTGGAGAAGTGTAAACTTTTTAAGATTAATGGACAGAGGAAAATCCTTGAAAAATAGAAGACACTGAAGTTGGACAGCAGAAAACAATGGTTAATTAGAAAATGTGAAAGAGGAAGAAGCAAAAAAAAGAGTAAAAACAAAATTAGAGAGAGGAAATAAGAGAAAGACTGTAAGGATAAAAAAAACAAATGACTTTTGAGAAGAGAGAGATGAACAGAATAAAGGAAAGAAAGGAAGAGAATGAAAACGGGAGAAATAAAACCAGATGGAAAGAGAAGTCAAAATGTTGAAGGTAAATAGGAAGAAGTGGTTGAGGATGAGAATTGTAAGGTGTAGCAGGAGAAGAATTGCAAAAAATAAAAATCTAGGATTTCCAAAACAATTACAACTTCTGATTTCAATGACCACCAAAATGAATTTCCCTGCAGGGGTTGCTGTGGCTGATGTACGATTGACACAAAGATGATTAAATTTGTATTCTTTTTGTTTCTATGCTTGTCTCTAGGTTTTAAATTTTTCTATCAAGTTCCAAATACAACTGAGAAATCCAGTGAACAGCTTTAAAATCCTAAGAGACTCTGTTGCTTGTTTTTATGTTGATTTCTGTGTTGTTGTCTTTTGTTTTGATTTTTTTTCTTTTTATAATCTTAATTTTCTCAGTGACACCTCTATCGACCACCTAAAATAAAAAACTAATTTGAATTCTAATCATTAAAGGATGATCTAAAAAAAAAGGAAATATCACAAAAGAAAAAGAATATGAAAAATGAAGAAAAAATCTAAAAACTATTGTGGAAGAAAAATGATAAAGAATAAAAGAAAAAAAAAGAAGAGAAATAGAAGAATAATTATAGATGATAAAAAGAAAGCAAACATATAGAAGAACAAAAACTGGAAATAAAAGAATGGAAAACATTGAAAAATAGAAAAAAAATGATGAAAAAGAAATAAGAGGAGGAAGAAAAAAGAAAGAGAAAAGTGGCCAGAGTGATGACGAATAACCAAAATGATGAGTAAATAGAAGAAAACACACTTCCTTCATTCAATCATCACCTTTCCATATGCCATATGCAACCACACAGCTTCACATTCCCATCAATTATGCCCTTCCCTTTATTGCACAGACACCTTTTCCTCTACCCTTGGTTAACATTGATTTCCAATAGTGGTAGCTTAAGAAACACTGGATTACAAGGCATCTGGTTAGTTTCAACAGAAGAGCTACAGACTTAGATTTAATGGGTTCTGCAAAAACAAAATAGACCTGTCAATTTTGGCTACTAAGTAAGTGGTATATTCATTAATAAAAAAAAAATTCTGCTTTGCAAGAGGGTTTCAATATTGTCAAGCTTAAAAAGTAAGTGTTAATGATGATCAGAATAATTCTTCAGTGAGAGGAGGTGCATTGTTACATCTTGCACAGTCTATGTCATTAAAGTGTCAAAGATGAAAAAAAAAAATGATCTATTTAAATTAGTCCCAGCAAAAGCATACATTCAGTCCTTCAAAAGTTTAATATCAGAAAGCAAAGAAATTTTTTACACTATTTACATTGTTTGGACTGTTGTTCTCATCTTTATTGTCATATCCCCGACATTTTGGCTGTTGTATGCTACAGCTTTTTTCAGGTTATATATGTTGGAATTTCAAACTGAATACTTTATTTAAACCACCAGGGTAGATTGTTCTAGTTCCACATGCCGTACCTTTTCTGGATGTCTCAGGTTTCAGTTATTTCCCTTTAGTAACTCAACTCTCCAAGTTTTTGTTCACTTCTGTTGTGATCAGGTATTGAACTCACACTTTTGGATTACTTCAAACAATGCTTCTATTGACTGGGCCAGGTGTCCTTGGGGAAATTTATTGCCATATATCCTCCTGGTGTGAGTTAAAACTCGCATCTTTTTTCATATACTGTCAGCATTTTGCCTAGTGAATTTTTTCATGATTTCAGATGAAAAGATGTAAACTTTCCATTATACTTCAGTGAAATTTTCCCTTTCCAAATGATAGTTTATAATTAAACCAGTGTACTGTGTGATCCTCTTTAGTGTGTCACAGAATATTGTCAAAAATTCTTGGAAAATAAGAAGCAAGAAAGACTACACTCAACTGAAAAAGAAATGAGGGTCTGCTTATCACACATTCAACCAAACATTGAAGTAATCGCAAGAAAACACCAGGCACAGGTTTAACATTAAATAAGTTGCACAAATAGTTGAATAGAAACATTGAAATAAAGTTCATATTTGTGTGTGTGTATTTTTTAAAAATACATGGTTTTATTTCATAACATTTAAATGTATACCCTTTTAAAATTTTGATAAGTGTGCCATGATATTTTCACTTGCTCTTAGGTGTGCCATTGCTTAAAAATGTTGAGAATAGTCAATATCCTCCTGGTGTGAATCTAAACTGACATTGTTTTTTCCAATATATTGTCGCTATTTTGCTTAAAGTAAATATTTCCTTGATTTCAAATGAAAATATATAAATTTTCCAACGTACTTCAGTGAAACCTCAAATTATAATTTTTAATTATGCTATAAATATGTAGAAAAAAGTGTCAGTTTAAATTGATGTCTGGAGAATATGAGTTAAAATCATAGAAGAAAACATTTAGTCTATCCCTCAGCTTAAGACAAATGCATTTTACTGTTATCAAAGATTTTGGAATGTTTATTAAAAATATGCAACCACATGCTGATCAACGTATATGTCCACAGTCTTTATAGATTCATGCATTGGTCAATATCACTAAGCAGTTTTCATGTTTCTTTGAAACACATCTTCAAAAGTACTTTCATTTCTTTCACCTGCAAACCTCACAAACTTTTGATTTTTTTCAATAAAGATCATTTGCTTTTTTTGCGTTCTGATTTTCAATAATCTCTCAGGTGCTTCAGGAATCAAAGAAAGCTTTTAGTTGCAAGCAAATAATTTCTGTTATCTGATGTCCAACTTATGCTAAATTCTTTGTAAGTTCAAAGCAATAAAAAAAAATTGCATGATTTTTTGTTTTGATTTTTATTCTACAACTTTGAGAAATATATTTTTTGTATTGGGTTATAAAAAAAACCTTTATTTTGTTCTGTTTTTAGTTGTACTTTCTATAAAAACTTTTTCTTTGCTGAGCATTCAAGGCCAGCTGAAAGAAACATTAAATATATAGTGGAGATAATACACAAATCTAAACCATTTGTATCTAGATTTAGTCAAATCTGATCCGAGACTCCTGGAGAGCAATATAGCAATATACTGCACCTTCTTGGCCTCACATTTTCAACTGACTTGATGTGGAGCAACTACATCAAATCAATAGCTGCATCTACTGCAATGAAAGTTGGGTCACTCTGTCGTGCCAGAAAATTTTTCATGTCATAGTCCATCTTGCACATTTACAAATCTACCATTTGTCTGTGCATTAAATACTGCTGCCATATTTGGTTTGGTGCTCCTGCTTTGCATCTCGAGGTTCTTGACAAAAATTGATCCTAACTTGGCATCTTGACTTCGGCCACTTTCTCACCAACATGACATGGCTTCCTTCTCTCTGTTCTACAAATATTTTCAAGGTAACTGCTCTGATGCGCTTTTTCCCTGGTGCCTTGACTGCATGAATTTCAGAGTGCCACTAGATTGGCATCTAGGCCCCATTCATTTTATGTTGAAATAGCTAAATGAAACTGTCACTTTTACTCCAACAACTTCTTTTCTCACACTTCCTGCCTGTGGGACTACCTTCCATTTACTTACTTCTCTGAAAACTACAATCTTCAAAAATTTAAATGCAATGTCAATTGCCATCTTCTATCTTGAATCTCATTCATCTTTTGTCCTTTTCACTTTTCTCATGATACTCAGTCTTTTTTCTCACTTTCACTCCCTGTAGCCCCCTACATACTAGTGGCATTCCTGCCTTGCTTGAGCTGAAATGATTAAAATAAATCAGTAACTGGAATAGCTGTTGGAGGTAAATGTATCTTACCATCTGTGGAGTGAATGGCTATGTTTAAATATAAAATAAATGGAAGAATTGCCCAATTAACAGAATAGACAAAATTTCAATAAGCAATTGCAAGAAAAATAATAGAGCAAAAATAACATAAATCAAGAAAACAATATATGCAAGGCAGAGCAACAGTAATATGGCAAAACTGGGGCTGACACAAGAGAAAGTTCAGATAAGTGAATGTAACATTCTGATTTCAAGGCAATACAGACCGGGACTGAGACAGATGCAACTGAGAACTGGTCTATTTTATTGGCTAGGAAGAAATCCCAGCATGCATTTGTGTGCTTCTGCCTATAAATTAGGGAGGGGTAAGTGTTTTACAGTCATTTCCTATTGGATTGGAACCAATAGCATCCCAATATAGCACTACCTTACACACAATATATTAACACTTTGCATTGATGAAAACAGACAAATGTTTGAGAGAAAACATATTCACAGAACTTGAATGTGAGAATAATTTGTTGTTATTGCAAACCAGATAGACATTAGCAAATATGGAAAAAGTGAATTAAGGTATTACTCAATAGTTGACTGACTTGTACACAAGACTAGTGAGGTAACCAGGCTATGAAAGGTGAGAGAAATTGAGGTCTAAATTAGGTATGCAGTCATTTCAAGAAATTGGCACCAAATGACAAGGCAATATCACACCTTCAGCCAGATTGTCACATGCTGCATTTCTTACACTTTGATATGTGCATAAATTATGGCTTAGTCAAGTGCAAATAATTAAGTCTCGTAATGCTGCACCATTACAGTAAAATAAAATTTTCCTGTTCCTAAATAGTTTGCTTAGATTCTGGAAGGCAAATTTCACTATCTCAATACACATTCTGATTTCTGTTACACTTTCTGTTCTCTGTTAAAACACTTCCCAGATACTGAAATTGTTGTAATTGCTTTATTTTGGTTTCTCCAATAATAGTTCTTCTTTGAAGTCAAAGCTGGAGTTCATAATGTCTGATTTTGAGAAGAGTCATTATTATTCTAAGTGTAAGTCTGGTAGTTAAACATAAATAATGAACATAAATAAAGGAATGAGTTCAAGGATCTTATATTTTTTTGCTAATGTTTATCCAATAGAGCTACTCAATGTAGAGGGTTAGTGTGTGGAGTTGCGTAAATAAACCCCTACTTCTGTTCAACATGCCAGGAAGGAGTGTGAACCAGATGATAGGCAAACCAATCTTTTTCTATTGGCCGAGGAGAGGAAAAAGAAAAAAGTAAAATAAACTAAGAAATCAGTGAATAAAATTTCAGTATTCCAGTGTAGATGTTAAGAGTACAGAGCTGAAGCAGACTTTAGAATGAACCAGAAAGCCAATCCTAAACAGGAAACAATGGATAAACCCCTACTCCTGTTCAAAAAACAGGGGAGGAGTGTGAACCGGACGATAGGCAAATTAATTGAGGCCTGTTAATTGAGGATCTGATATCAGAGGGTATAGGTATAATTTTGACCTTATACTTTCAAACTCAACGTTCTTCATGTAAATAGCAAACACTACAATTTAGAAGACTTCAACTGCATGGAAAACAAGCTGAAAGTACATAATTATAATGAGTTAAAAATAGATTCTAAGATGGTGAGTCTAAGGAACAGGATTAAGTCATCTGCAAAATCTTTATCTTTTTTGTGTGTGTTTGTTTCCTAAAATAAAAAAATAAAAGGGGAGATAGACCAAGAGGTGCCCATGTCTCCAAAGAACTCTTTTTTTCTTCTTTTTTTTATTTTTCACTGTAATGCCACTGCCCTCCCCACTCTACCTGGAAATCTCTGAGTGGGTTGTGACACGCTTGATTGAAATGTTTTAGCCCAGTGCAATGGTTTATCTGCTTTCTTTTTCTAATTTTCCCTTTTTTTTTATTTTGGTGTGATTGTCTTTTTATTTTTTCTGCATTTTAATTTTATTAAAAAAAAAATTAAAAAAAAAAAAGGCAGAATTCATATTGTCTTTATAATAGAAATTCACAGAACAAAACATGTCTACATGAACGGGTGATTGAGAGAGAACAATGAAGTC